GTATCGTGTTAGACTCGACGATCGTGTTCGACTTGACGAACGCAATCAACGATCGTGTTCGACTCGACGGTTGTGTTCGACTCGACGATCGTGTCCGACTCGACGATTGTGTCCGATTCGACGAACGTGTTTGACTCGACAAACTCAATCGACAATCGTGTTCGGCTCGACTATCGTGTTTGGCTCGACGATCGTGTTCGACTCGACGATCGTGTTCGACTCGACGATCGTGTCTGACTCAACGATCGTGTTCGACTCGACGATCGTGTTCGACTCGACGACTATGACCGACTCGACGATCCTGTCCTACTCGACGTGTTCGACTCGCCTATTGTGTTCGACTCGACAAACGCAATCGACAATAGTGTTCGACTCGACGATTGTTTTCGACTCGACAATCGGGCAGTGTCGTGTTCGACTCGACTATCGTGTTCGAATCGACGATCGGGCAGTGTCATGTTCGACTCGACTATCGTGTTCGACTCGACGATCGTGTTCGACTCAATCGACCATCCTGTTCGACTCAACGATAGTGTTTGACTCGACTATAGTGTTTGACTCGACGATCGCGCAGTGTCGTGTTCGACTCGACTATCGTGTTCGACTCGACGACCGGGCAGTATCGTGTTCGAATCGATGATCGGGCAGTGTCGTGTTCGACTCGACTATCGTGTTCGACTCGACAATCGGGCAGTGTCGTGTTCGACTCGACGATCGGGCAGTGTCGTGTTCGACTCGACGATCGGGCAGTGTCGTGTTCGACTTGACGAGCGTGTTCGACTAAACTTTCGTGTTCGACTCGACAATCAGACATCTGGCACGATCGTGTTTGTGTCGGGCACTGTCGTCTTCGACTTGACTATCGTGTTCGACTCGACGATCGTGTTCGACTCGACGAATGCAATCGACGATCATGTTCGACTCGACGATCGTATTCGACTCAACGATCGGGCAGTGTCGTGTTCGACTCGACTATCGTGTTCGAATCGACGATCGGGCAGTGTCGTGTTCGACTCGACGATCGGGCAGTGTCCTGTTGGACAGGACTATCGTGTTCGACTCGACAACCGGGCAGTATCGTGTTTGACTCTACGATCGTGTTCGACTCGCCTATCGCGTTCGACTCGATGATCGGGCAGTGTCGTGTTCGACTCGACGACCGTGTTCGACTCAACTGTTGTGTTCGACTCGACAATCAGACATCGGGCATGATCGTGTTCGTGTCGGGCACTGTCGTGTTCGACTCGACGATCGGGCACGATCGTGTTCGACACGAAGATCGGACACGATCGTGTCGGACTCGATGATCGGATGTGATCGTGTTCGACTTGACGATGGGGCACCATCGTGTTCGACTCGACGACCGGAAGTGCCACGTGGCGTTACATGGTTGAATCTGGGCTGCGTGGTTGTGTCCTCACCATCCGATCCTTCAAACTCGGGGTGCTCCGCTGTGGTTGTGCGTCGCGATCTTGGGCCGTATGCTCGCTACGTCGTCTTGCTGAACACGCCTCTCGACAGCGATGTGGTCCGCCGTCGCGTCGAGCAGGTGGTCGGCTATGCACGGACCGAATCCCTGTGCTCCGTTGCCTCGCTGTACACGAGCCTACACTGCGCTGCGCTGTGGCACGAGCCTCTGTTGCGCTGCATCGACGAACCTCAGCTGCGCCGCTCTAGTGTTGCCCTGCCGAATTGAAACGAAAATGGGAACTGGTGGCCCTCCCTCATATATATAGTTTTTTGGGAGGGTCCTTCGCGGGCACCTGCTGGCGGTCCGATCCAGGGATACTAACGGTCGGGATGTTCCGATTGGGAGTGGTGGGCCTGCCTCATATAAGTGGTTTTCCGGGTGGGCCCTCCGAGCACGCCTGCTGGCCGTCCGATCCGCGAATACGGACGGTCCGATCCAGGAATACGGACGGTCGGGACGATCCAATGCCTGCAGTCGGCCGCGATCGTTTTCCCCCCTTGGCCAGAGTGGAGGCGCGGGGATGACGTTCAGCTGCAGAGCAGAAATGCGATTGGCGCACCAGAGTACCCTCGACATTGTGTCATTGTTGACGTTCTGGGAGAATCAGCGGAGCCGTGCGCCAACGTCGACACGACAATTGCCCCGCTCTCCAGGTTAGTGCCGCTTCGGCGAACACGGCCCCCCCGCCCCCCCCCCGCGAGAGAAAGAGAAAAGCCTCCATCTCCAGTGCTGGTTTATCGGTGACGTCAACAAGTTTTCTCGAACACTTTCCTCATAGTCGTCGT